ATTAGAAGTTCCGGGTTGAGACGATTCGTGTAGTACCACTTAGAAATCGGTGTGATCAGCGGATTAGGAGTTCCGGGTTGAGACGATTCGTGTAGAACCACATAGAAGTCGGTGTGATCAGGGGATTAGGAGTTCCGGACTGAGACGATTCGTGTAGTACCACTTAGAAGTCGGTGTGATCAGGGGATCAGGAGTTCCGGACTGAGACGATTCGTGTAGTACCACTTAGAAGTCGGTGTGATCAGGGGATTAGGAGTTCCGGGTTGAGACGATTTGTGTAGTACCACTTAGAAGTCGGTGTGATCAGGGGATTAGGAGTTCCTGGTTGAGACGATTCGTGTAGAACCACATAGAAGTCGGTGTGATCAGGGGATTAGGAGTTACGTGACACAGACATTGAATCTGATAATGTCAATCTGAGCTTTAATGAGCTGGGAAAAAATTGTAATTTATACATAACGAATCTGTGTTCACACTTGGGAGATTTTTACACTCGAAGAAAACCCTCATCAAATATAGGCTTAAGTAAACACGTCATTGTTTGGACTGTGACACACTATAGACTACTATTGTTGCTGTTTACACTTTGAAAATGTTAGTTTCCTGAGAGGAACAAGACCTATTTTGTATACAAGACAATACAAGCTTCATCTTTATATAGGCTTAGTAGTCTCGTAGTCTAGAGTGTGTCACAGTCCAAACAATGACGTGTTTACTATTGAGAGGAACAAGACCTATTTTGTATACAAGACAATACAAGCTTCATCTTTATATAGGCTTAGTAGTCTCGTAGTCTAGAGTGTGTCACAGTCCAAACAATGACGTGTTTACTATTGAGAGGAACAAGACCTATTTTGTATACAAGACAATACAAGCTACATCTTTATAAGTTCCGTGTGTATTTGTGGAAATATCCTTCCTTTAGGCCCTGGTATAACCTGGTGGTTAGGGCTCTCGATTCGCAAACTGTGGGATCGAAACCCGTCGCCAAAAATGCTCACTTTTTCAGCTGGTGGCGTTATATTGTGACGACCAATCATAATACTTATTGATAAAAGAGTAGTACTTCAAGAGTTGGCGGTGGGTGGCGTTGACTAGCTTCCTTCTCTAATCTATCACTTCAAAATTAGGGACAACTAGTGCCATCGAGTAGATTTGCGCGAAACGTCACCAAACAAACAAACCAACAATTTGCTTTCAAACAGAAACGTTTTTTCTTTTTTCTCATCAATTCTTGATAATGTACAACAGTTTGACTAATATACACGCGAGCGACAGCTTTCTGAAAAACAAAGTCATATAAGCTGTATTCACAAGTCTAGAAAAATCAGCAACCGAAACATCGGACGACGACGACGACCTCTTTGAAATAATTATCGCTTTACAAATCCAGGATTAGTTCTAGAAGGAGTGTGGGTGCTGGACCGCCAAATCTGTCGATGTATTTATGGGCTAAAGAGCTGTGTTTGTCACGAAAAAGGGGGAAATGTCCGTACTGCTTTCTAAAGTTTAAATATAGTAACAACCGTCTCGAAAGCACGTCCAATAAATACTGTCTGTAGTCTAAGGACGATCAGGGCGTAATAGAAAGTTTGTGATTTATATGAGAATGTCTTGAGTACAGGAATGTACAATATGTTTGACATTAAATCTTTGAAGAGTCGTGGCACTAGGCGAAAGGCCTCGTCGGCGCTTAATCTGATGGATATTGTGTGTTTGATTTATTGTTTTTATATTCTTTACACTCGCTCGTAAGTTCTTATAAAAATAAAAGATCCCGAAATCCAAGTTCTTTAAAGTATGCACAGAATACCAAATTCAGATCAATAAATATGACGTCACCCCTCGTTTACAGTACGAAAATTTACAACAGCGAAAACCAAGGTTTATATGTAAAGGTAAGTTTTTGTTCGACATGTCGAGGGAATTTTTTGGGGGGATTTTTTTTTTGTTTTTCGCATAAAATCAGAGTGCTAATCTCATTAAATACACCATCATGATATAAATACACGGTTTGCCAAAATTATGAAAAAATATTGTTTTAAATTTACGGAACGTATGTACAGCTAAACATAAGATTTTACCTTCAAACAAGTCCGGACACGTTGAAGCCACAACAAAGCTATAACTCGTGAAAATGCCAAATATAAGTACATCGTGGGCTGCTCGAGGTTCACGTGAATTGTTCACGTGACTCGCGTGATTTTCTATAGGTGATAACTCTCGTAAATAGAGGTAAATCAATTACGCTGATGAACTTTTTTTTTGTTTTAAGATTTACGTGATAAAACCCTACACGCACGCCACTAAATCGGTTTATTGGTCATTTTGCCGGGTTTCTTTTGAGGCGGCGGTGTTTGTATCCTGAGAGAGGCACAAGGCACATATGTTTCGTAGAGATCTCGACCACGTTTGGCAATAAAACCAATCGCCTTTAAGTGTTGTCACGTTGCGTGTGCCCCCAGTGATTCAGTGGTTAGTCTGAAGGCTTATAACGCTAAAAACCGTGTTTCGATACCCGTGATGGGCACAGCGCAGATAGCCCAATGCGTAGTTTTGTGCCTAACAATTATCAAACAAAAAAACAGCGTAAACGTCGGTCGTACTCCTCAACACGTTGAACTTCACATCTGATACAATAAAACCAACTTCAGATCTGATGCAATAAAACCAACTTCAGATCTGATGCAATAAAACCAACTTCAGGTCTGATGCAATAAAACCAACTTCAGGTCTGATCAATAAAACCAACTTCAGATCTGATACAATAAAACCAACTTCAGGTCTGATGCAATAAAACCAACTTCAGGTCTGATCCAATAAAACCAACTTCAGGTCTGATGCAATAAAACCAACTTCAGGTCTGATGCAATAAAACCAACTTCAGGTCTGATCCAATAAAACCAACTTCAGATCTGATGCAATAAAACCAACTTCAGATCTGATACAATAAAACCAACTTCAGGTCTGATACAATAAAACCAACTTCAGGTCTGATGCAATAAAACCAACTTCAGGTCTGATGCATGTCTTGTATGCACCTGATTCGTCTAAATCTAGTGCTTTAATACACATAGAAGCAAATGGAATACCCCTACCCCCTTGGTGCCAGCACTCGCTGCAGTAACTTTGGAAGTGGGGGAAGGTAAAAATTGTATAGAAACAATTATCAATGTTTAACTGTGCTAATCAGAGCAGTTGCTTATTTATAAATTTTATTTTATGGTTTTAGCATCCACTAGTTCGTGGTATTTAATGTATATGATGGTATGTTGTGTCAGACTTAAAAAAACAAACGACTTGCGTATTTATACTGTTTGTAAGTAATTAACTTGTTCCACTTCACCTCTAACGATTTATTACATATTATTTGTTATAATGTTTATAATAGTTTCTTAATTACAATTATACTTGTGAACATTGTTATCTTAATCTAAGCAGACTGATCGTCATGTGATATTATTGGGATTACGGCCGAAAATACCCATTATGAATAAGGTACTCAGTTGATGATTTAATGTATTCATTAAAAATTTTATCTCTTTGGTGTGCTGACTTATAACACTAAGTATTTCTATCTAATTTTTCAACAGGATTGTTTTCGTTAATGTATTCATGATATTTTTTTAAAATTCGTGTTTTGTTGTTCTTACTTTTCACCAGAAGTTGGTATTCATTCTTTTATCATCCACAATCTTCAGCAACTTCACAAAATATCGAATGTCGATACTATTAGTGACTTCCAGGTTTCCTCGCTTTCTTTCAGGACCGCGTTTAATAAATTCAAATATTACCCTTTCTACTTGAAAAATTCCGGAATGACGAGAAAGCTGCTGTAGTAAATTGAGGAAAAACATATTGTGATCCAGCCGACAATACTATTTACGACTTGATGCAAAAATTAATTTAAAATATGTATATTTGTTCACATTTTAATTTTTTAAATCGCTTCTATTTTATCTAATTAGGGACAACTGTAGCAGCGACTTATTTCTCTTCATATATCAACTGATCGTTGCTAGTTTTATCGCCAGGAGATGTGTAGTCATATGTAAAACTGGAGTATAGTCATTTGTTACGTAGGTGTGTTAACAACTGTGTCGTAAATCTGTCTCTCACCCTGCAATTAAAACAGTTCTGGAAAAACGGGCATTTTAGGGTTACTTAACATTTCTCTGCAGGGAAAAAAGTGAAAACTTTTCTGGACAATTAAACCACGAGAACAAAACAAAACCTACAATCACTTAAGTACGAACGATTTTCAGTATTTAAATATAATATTCTTTTACATACAGTGTTAGCTTTAATTTATATAGCTAGATTTTCTACCATTAATATTGTTAAACACTTAGAGGCTTAACAACAGTAGTGTTTTATTTTTTGAAACGTATTGTGACGTTGTAACAATGGATTGATGACGATTCTACGTCACTATCGTAACATAATTAATATTGTAATGGAACAAAAAGTAATGTGAAAAAAAATGCCGATCTGAGTTGTCCATAAAGTTGTATAAATGGGGTTAAATTATTACGTTTAACGGAAGATGACGTATGTAGCACGTTTATATAACTGTTGTTGAAAACCGACTTCATTTCTTCCACTCGACATGTTCTTGTAACAGTCAGCAAACATGTTTCATTAATTGTTTTTACGTTTTTAATGACGTTTACTTTGACAACAGACTAGATTGTTTCTGTCGTTCTTGATAAAGTCAGACGTTTTAAGAGACCTAGAGCAAGTTGGAAACCCGTGACTGTTACAAAGTCTGAATTTGTAATTATTACAGACAGAACTCGGCCACGGTAATGTCTAGGTTACAACTGCGTAGAATGTAACTAACACATGCGCAGTGAATCCTAGAGCAGCTTGGGCTCAGCATTTTAAAAACTGGGTCACCACAGAGTTGTATCCTGACGAGAACTGTGTTCAGCAGTCCAGTGCAGTGGTAAGTGTACATGCATATATACCTATATATTAATTTTGTGTTTCGCTTTGACTTTATTCCAAGAAATTATTTCAGAAATCCGGTATCTAGAGTAAGACATTAATAAATAGAAGCTTATGATCAAAAGTAAACCAGAATTTTTATCTTTTTAAAAAGGGACTTTGGAATTAACGAAGACAATCTTGAATAAGAAACTAAATAGAAATAATTTATGCAATAACTTTATGCATAATAAAACCAAAATAAAGAATCGTGCCAACAATATTTTCTTTGGTAATATTGTTGAAAATATATATTTGTAATTAAAATTTTCGTGTAGCCATAACGTTATGTTTGTCATGCCTACTACTACAATGGAGTCTTTCGTAACAAAATATATTGGTTTCCCCTATCTAGTGTCAAACCTCTACGGTGTATATATAGAGATTGGATGTGGCCTGTTTAAGTTAAACTTTACATATTAAATAGTTATATTTTGTGTTTACGGCCACGATTACTTGCCGCGTCCGTAATCTTGAACTACTGACCACAGGAAAGGTATTCAGTCGTCAGCACTCAACTACCCACCAATCAAACTAATGAATTGACTGTTGCTCTTATAACGCGCTCACAGCTTAAAGTACGAGAAATACATAATGGTATCTGACGGATTCGAAAATGGATCACGGATCACCAACTCTGAAATCCAAAGCTCTTCCACAAGGCCTCACGATATTTTGATTTTTAGCGATATTCTCAAACTCCCCACTTTTATCGTACAATATTTATATTCTCAACGCCACATCTCACGGATAGAGCAATCATCCGGATACTAAACGGAACACAGTTGTTTCTTGAACTTCGAACACTTCTTTTCTGTGCAGCTTATGGGATTAAAAATAATAACTTAGTTATATAAGTTTCTGGCTTTTTTTTTATCATGACTACGTCATACTTTTTAAGTTTAAAACGTTTTTTTATGTCGCTAAGCGCAAAGCTACGGCATGGGCTATGTGTGCTCTGCCCGCCACATGTATCGAAACCCGAATTTTAGCGTTATAAGCCCTCATATTTATTACTGAGCCATGGGGTGTGTGAATAAAAAAAGCTGCATATTGTCGATGTTCTCAAGTCATGGCATTATTAAAAACTTGTTAGTATAATTAATTACCGTAGACTTATCGGGTGTTATGTTTACCATATCCTATAACCATAGCATGTAACATTTGTATATGCAGTTCGTCGAAACCTGGTTTTATTTTTCCAATGGTAATTCTACGACTAAACAGAAACCATTACTGTCTAGCCGACTAGATATACACAGGTCACGGTAGTCTGACTGATCAGTTGATCCAGTGAATTATGTAAAGTTTTACTCATGCAACCAGTTCACTAGTACCACACAAGGTACCACTACAAGTATCACACAGAGTACCACCACCAGTATCACACAAGGTACCACCACCAGTATCACACAAGGTACCACCACCAGTATCACACAGAGTACCACAACCAGTATCACACAAGGTACAACCACCAGTACCACAACCAGTATCACACAAGGTACCACCACCAGTACCACACAGTGTACAATAACCAGTACCACACAAGGTACCACTACCAGTACCACACAAGGTACCACCACCAGTACCACACAGTGTACAATAACCAGTACCACACAAGGTACCACTACCAGTATCACACAAGGTACCACCACCAGTTTCACACAAGGTACCACCACCAGTTTCACACAAGGTACCACTACCAGTACCACACAAGGTACCACTACCAGTACCACACAAGGTACCCGAACACCATAAACTTGCGTTGCCTAAGAATAGATCAATCAGGTTAACTCGAGTTATATAACAAGATTAATATATCTACAAATGGGAATAGGTCATTTATATCTAGTGAAATAAGCTATACTAATAGAATACTCTGTACGATACGATTCTGGTGGTACCTTGTGTGATACTGGTAGTGGTACCTTGTGTGGTACTGGTGGTGGTACCTTGTGTGGTACTGGTAGTGGTACCTTGTGTGGTACTGGTGGTGGTACCTTGTGTGGTACTGGTGGTGGTACCTTGTGTGGTACTGGTAGTTCTGAGTAAATGACGAGGTAAAACGTATACGTGGTTTGTAGGTGAACGTCACGTACTTAATGCGGTTAAACTTGTTAAATCGTGAATTATAGTTATACTTTTCGGTCTATGGACCTAAAACTAACTCAAATCTTGAAAGACATTATGTTGAATCACGTTTGAAATATATTCTAGTTACAATCTTATTTTGTACCTTGATTCATCTTTAAGAGTGCTTCAGTCAGCTAACGATACATAAAACTCACATCGGGACTTTTTTTTAAGGGGGCACAGGACCGCCAGGCCCCTTGAAGGGGCCCAAATAGTAGTTTCTGCTAAAAAATTCAAGCCAGGCCGGATTAACACGTATATGCAAATCACAACAAAGCTTAGGAACACCCAGCTAAATTGCAGAGCCCACACGAAGTCAGTCTCCCCCCCCCCAAAAAAAACAAACAACTTTTGTGAAAAGACTGTTGTCTTCACATCTGTTTCACAAAATTGTTTTTATTATAAGTTAATACTAAGTGTCTTTTATACGTGGAAATTATCTCCCATATAATCATTACGTGGGCTTTCCATGACGTGCCCATAAATTATGCGTTTATGGGAGTTTATTTTAGTCGTTAAACTAAACGCAAGTGGCAACTGTTGGAGTTTGAGTTCGTGAACGATAGTGTGGATATTATGTTTTACAGTTTTTTATTTATCAAAACCTGAAACTAAAACCGGCAAATTAGCTAACATTATATCATCGGATTATGATAAGGGCTTTTTAGTTGGAACGCTTAACGATCAATATATTTAAAAAAACACTTGGAATTAATTAGTTTCGTTAAACTGTGTGAGATTCAAAAATTATAGGTGGCAGTGTATATCGGTTTCCTGTTTGTTAGCGGTATCCTTTTCGTCTGAACGGTTGAATCATCACACTTCAACCAGTTCAGACAAATTGGAAAACAAAATTGGTAACAGCAAATCAAGAGTCTGAATGCGAGACAGCGAATGTTGAAGAAACAGAGAGTTTTGAACCCAACAGCTAGTTCCTGTTTTAAGCTATATTTTTAAAATTGTTTTTTTTACCACAAACGAGACGAGCAATAAACTAGGCTAGAAATTAGGTACATGTAAACATTATTACTCTCGCTTGTTAGTGTTAACTGGTTAGTTTTTAAAGAAAATTTTCCACACGCTATGGATAGGAAAATTCACCACACTAACTAAAAAAAAAGATTATTATTAGATTTTTTTTCATTTTCACATATATGTGCTTACGAACTATGTCATTTTTCTACTTTTAAAAATCGCACAACGTTTTCTGAAGTGTAATTCGGTTAACATATATTTTCATTTGCTTTAATTCACGGGTTTTTGGATATACACCGATATTGCCAAGTTTCCATAGTTAAGTTAATCTGATTATTTACCACGTCTAATAAATTCGGGGGGGGGGCAGACAGAATAGTTAGCGTGTGAATCAGAGGGTTAATGGTTCTTGTCCCGTTGCCGCAAGATTGCCCTCCGCACTTTGGGGTCTGAGTATGTTACGAGATCGACGATCAAATCTCACTATTCGATTAGTGTAGCCTAAAAGTTGGCGGTGGGTGCTATTAACTATCGCACTTAGCCCTTGAGTAGCTATCCATGAATATTCGAAACACCTCCGTAACATATCTTCAATCGTAGTATGTAGCGTTTAATTTGAATGCAAAAAAAAAACAGCAACAAATAAGTATGACCTGGATTTTTATGTTGGTTTATTCTTGTTTTAGTTTAGCACATTTCGCGAGGAAGTTCACGCGGTAAAATTTGGTATCCTTGCACAATATGTGGTACAGAGAAGTACAGTGAACGCTTCACCCCGTGTAAAGCTAATAAATATTTCGAGAACATGCCGATTTCGTCATGCCCTACTGAGCACCAGAGTATCCCTCGTTTCCATGGGAATTCCAGAAACACTCATTATTACGTGTAAATCAATTAGATACAGTTATTGTTACGTCACGTCAGTAATATTTGCTGGTAGACAGCCGAAAATCATCTTTCTTAAGGAGCCGTACTCAGACTTTTCGTACTCAAATTGGGGATACATGAATTTTAAAGACGATATAGAAATATAATATTTAAAAAAAGTATTATACCTAACATCTGGCACGTAAGCCTTTTCCATACTTTCATTATTAGTACAGTAGCTTCTGTTAATTTAGACAAGCCCCAGCGCGTGCCACTCGTATCACTAATGATTTATATATGACGTAGAACGTAATTTATGTTGACCGGAAGATGGTTTAAAGCTGAACCAAGCTACATAAGTTGTGAAACTGTGTTACATGGTTTGTGTTTTAGTAGTAACATGACTTATATTTCATTATAAAACTTCGCCAGTAATCGTGTTGAATATTTTATGCATTAAGGAAAACAAGGTGTTGTTTGTTGTGTATAAGGGGGAAAAGGTGTTGTTTGTTGTGTATAAGGGGGAAAAGGTGTTGTATGTTTTGTATAAGGGAGGAAAAGGTGTTGTTTGCTGTGTATAAGGGGAAAAGGTGTTGTTTGTTGTGTATAAGGGGGAAAAGGTGTTGTTTGCTGTGTATAAGGTGGAAAAGGTGTTGTTTGTTGTGTATAAGGGGGAAAAGGTGTTGTTTGCTGTGTATAAGGGGGAAAAGGTGTTGTTTGTTGTGTATAAGGGGGAAAAGGTGTTGTTTGTTGTGTATAAGGGGGAAAAGGTGTTGTTTGCTGTGTATAAGGGGGAAAGGTGTTGTTTGTTGTGTATAAAAGAATAAAAGGTGTTTGTTGTGTATAAGGGGGAAAAGGTGTTGTTTGTTGTGTATAAGGGGGAAAGGTGTTGTTTGTTGTGTATAAAAGAATAAAAGGTGTTTGTTGTGTATAAGGGGGGAAAGGTGTTGTATGTTGTGTCTAAAGGAAATAATGGATAGTTTTCACCTTCACCGCTAGGTGTACGGATGAACACGTCGAGTTTTTGAAGGCGATATGTCTATAAATAAGTAAGTAAGAGGTTTCGTAGAAAACTAGCCTAACCTTTCTCCCTAAACCTGAACTGTGACATAATGTTTGGCCTGCGGGTTCGCTAATCCTTCTGGACCTGCAACCCTAGTTATCCACTGTTACCGGCGTTCTAAGGAAGGATGAGTTGATGCAGCTATAAATTATTGCGAGACAGCCCCTCCCGCGAGCGTAACTATAGAAACCTTGAAGGAGGCACATGGAACGTGCAGACAGGGACTTGAAGTCACGGTCTACTGGGCTATACCCTCCTTTTTTATTAAAAAAAATAATAATCCAAAACTGGTCTCGGCTTTTTGCAGGTTGCACGATCTGGCTTTACACGATTCAAGGCAACATGGCCGTCTGCTGCGGTGCATATCACAATGTAACAGTTTTATCATGTCCGTCATTATCTAACTTCGTAGGAGGTTTAGGCTTCGTTTCTGGAAGTTACCCGAAACGCCGAGATGAAGCGGTCGTCGCTACCACACAGTATTGTTACCCATTAAGAAACTTCGTTACAGTCATAAAAAACAGACGTACCTAAAACAAACACATATAGTTAGCCGAGCAGAGCCAGAGCTCGGGATTAAACAAACTCTCAAGTTTACAACAGGGCTGAATATACAGGAAACCTTTACCGAGGATAAAATGTATTTGTACCTATTAAAGGTAACTGTTTGTTGTTGGTGTAACCAACCTGACGAAACGTAAAATTACATTCTAACATTCCGCGAGAATTTGTGTGTAAAATCAAGAGTCCATACTTACACTAAACCGCGTAATAGCCTTTTGTTTTAAGGTGCTATCATTCCACCGTGTGACGTATAATTAAACTGTTAGCTGGATTCATTGTGTTTCAGTAAATCGAGGTAGAAGATATTGAAAGATAAATAACTACGAAAAGTGCTGTGAAAACCTTATCTCTGAAGCACCAGTATTATTATCATTATTTGTAAAGGATGAATTTCTGTGAAAAGAATGTACGTTAATATTGGTCGGGGCAGCTCTCATAATGCCTTCTCACAATTTACATTAACATATTGTTACGACATCGAGGTCACGTGACTAGTATCACGCCACGTCATTCTTGAACCTTCGTGAATTGTCGGGAGATTACTAGATATAGTGTAGTCTTGTATATATAAGACTGGCCACGAAGCGACGAGGAGACAGTGAGTAATTGAACTGCAGTCAGAGAGTATTGTTGAAGTTGAGCACGTGAGACGTTCGTTATTATAGCGTTTGTTATAGCGCGACTGTTGAAATTAAGTGTATGAAACCATAGCAACTGAGTTGTATGTGTACAAAGTAACACACAGTGAAACCATAGCAACTGAGTTGTATGTGTACGAAGTAACACACAGTGAAACCATAGCAACTGAGTTGTATGTGTACAAAGGAACACACAGTGAAACCATAGCAACTGAGTTGTATGTGTACAAAGTAACACACACACTGAAAGAATTAAACCCAAAAACTAATGTTGGTCTGTTTTAAATCTCCTGTACGAGAAGACCAATTTGTATTTATTTAGTGTGGCACCTCTTGTGTGATCATAAGAATAGCGTTCGAATTTCAATATTAACTGGAAAGATATAATTTGAATTATTTCCAAGAAACGTATGGTAATAACCCTAAATGTCGTTCATTAAGTCGTCGCTAAGGGCGCTAGTTTAGAAAGAATGGCATCTGGAAATTAGTTGACTGTTTTATTTTAATTGAAATACCAGTACACACAGATATATTAGATAATATAGAGTAGTTTTAACAATTTAACGAATTTTACAGTTCTAATATGTAACGCTAGGTTAGTTTATTTATAAACACTTGATTGGGTTGTTTTGATAAGAACTATTCAAGTGGAACAAATACTGATTAAAGCCTGTGTGAAGACTAGGTTAAATCTTTAAAAGACCTTGAAGTTATGTCATAAAATGATTTATTATGTCAGAGATGCTGCGGTTCAGTTGGTTGAAATGTTATATATCTTAATATTTAAATATTTGTGGCAGATTAAATAAACTGTCATCGAGAGATTAAAAAAAAAAAAACGATTTATCTTAAAGCTGTGAAAGTGACATTAAGTGTTAGTGGGTTAGTAGTAATTCGTGTCCAGTTATTACAAAAATACGTACTGTATTTTGAGGCCGTGAATGCGCTAAAAAAAAAAAAGGTGCCGGCAAATCCCATTATTAGGTCAGTTAAGAGTTGGCGGTGG